CCGAGGTGTTGTTTGATCCAAGGAACTTTCTGTTCAGGGGTAATGATCAGGGTTTCAGTCTTGCTAGAATTTAACTGAAGGCAGTTGTTAGCTAACCATGCTTTAATATGGGAAACACAGTTTACTAATTCAGCTAACGTGTAATTCTGAGTCATAAAAGGAACAGTACAGTTGAATATCATCAGCATAGAGATGGTAAGACACATTTCTGAAGCTACTGATAATCTTTCCCAGGGGGGGTGATGTAGAGAAGGAACAGCATAGGACCCAACACTGAACCCTGAGGAACACCATTCAGTAACGGAGTGGTCTTAGACTGTATGTTATTAACAAACATTGAAAAGGTTCTGTTGCTCAGATAAGAGGAAAACCACTTAAGAACAGTTCCAGAAAATCCCATCTCATGTTACAGTCGATGTATCATTATTTTGTGGTCGACTGTGTCAAAAGCTGATGATAGATCCAATAAAATCAAAACACTGCTCTGACCAGAGTCTGCAGCCATCAATATGTCATTGGAGACTTTTAATAAGGCAGTTTCGGTGGAGTGCATCTTGCAGAAACCAGATTGAAACTTATCAAGAATATTATTATTTTGCAAGAAAGTAGTCACCTGCCCAGCCACTAACTTCTCCAGAATTTTGGCAAGAAAAGGCAGTTTTGATATTGGCCTGTAGTTGCAGAGCCCAGTGGGGTCCAAGTTGGGCTTTTTCAAGATCGGATTTAAAATTGTTTGTTTCAAAAAACTTGGAACTGACCCGGTTGAAAGAGAGATGTTAATTAATTCTGCCACATGGGGGCTGACAATATCAGACACCTTTAAAAACAGTGATGTGGGTACAACATCTAGCATGCAGGAAGAAGGTTTGATCTTTTTTAGAACAACCTTCACATCCTCTGAAGTGACAGGTGAAAATGAAGACCAGGGGCTCACTGTAGGGACAGAACTGGGGGTGACACCAAAATCTGATTTAACACTTGCCCTGATGTTGTCAACCTTTTCCACAAAATAGTTAAAAAATCTATTGCAGTCATCTAATGTGAATACAGGCACCAGAGGGAGTGAAGGTGAAACCATATTATTAATGGTATCAAACAAGACTTTAGGATTTTTCTTGTTCATACTCACAAGATTAGAAAAATATGCAGACCTGGCCTGTTTAATCATTTCATTTACACTTGTGTGGTCCCAACCATGGTCCTTGAGGAACACCATCTTGCATGTTTTAGTTGTTGTCCTGCTTTGACACACCTGATTTGAATGAATGGGTGATTAACAGGCAGAACTTGAGGAAGGAATTGAATAATTGAATCAGGTGTGTTGGAGCAGGAAAACAACTACACCATGCAGAGTAGTGTCCCTCTAGAACCAGGGATGGGAACCACTTTGTTGCCAATGCCTTTGGCGATTACGGAGTTTCCCAAGCAACTGAAAGGAAGAGAAGCTTAACATCCAGTCCCCATTTCACCAGTTCAGGAAGAAGCTGGCTCATATGCAGCAATGCATTTTTAATGGAATAGTTAAACACAGTGCTTGGTGGTGAGCAGGCGAGGGGGAAACAAATACTATTTACTATGTGCCTGTGTTTGTGTTTATATTTCTCTACATATTCTGCATATGTGGGCACATTTCTGTTTTATTAGAGATTAGGCAGATGGCTTTGAAAATGAACAAAGTAATTTTCTCCCCTCTCTTCTGGAATTAGGCCTGCATCATATTTGTATCAGCAGACTGATCAGACATGCTGAAGCCTGGTTGTCTTCTATCGCCTAGGAAAAGTACAATTTATTTATCTTTAGAAATTTCAGCAATCATTACAACTCCCCTCCCTCCATGCCCTTAGGCTCAATTTAAAATTGCCTATTAATGAATAATACATTTTTTTATGCTGAGAGGAAGCTAGATCAGCCATTTAAACCCATGTTTGATAATTACAGACATAAAAGATGTAAATAGATGAAATTTGAAACATTTGCCCGCCAGGGAGTGTGAAAGGGTGATATTGTACTTTTGTTGTGTTGGTGAAAATTATAGAAAGACAACAGACATATTTTAATGAAAAACTGAAAATATTCACTGAATCCACATCTACCATGTATGGCAGTAATCCATATCAATCTGGATGCAACAACCAACAGAACTTAGGAAATACAAAAATGAATATAACTCAATTGAGATATTTAGTTAAAATTTAGAGTGGTAGTAGTTTAGACCATTTTACAACTCATTTTCCAAGCACGACACACTGACAGTGACAAACTTTGGTTTAATTGCTAATGTGTCTGTTAAAAAAAAAATCATGAACAGCTTGACAGACTGTATTAAATGTATCTTTTATAGTATAGTAGTCCCTCACTACTTTATGGTTGATTTTTGCAGACTCGCTCTATCGCGGTTTTTCAAAGTAAGATTGGACATGACACACAATTGGCTGCTTGATGGATGAGCTGCACGATCGGCATTGATTTTTTTATTTAAAATAAATTACTTTAACTTATTTAGCACATGCAGCACCTGTGTGCAGCCCACAGCTGCAGAAAAAAGCTTCCTCCTGAAGTGTGTCATATATCCGCTCTGCAGCAGAGAAGTGGGTGTGGCCGAGAGCGCTGGCAGGTGGCAGCAGAGAGCAGCCGCGGCAGGGAGCTGAAATCATGACATTCTGTGCTTTTTTAGAGCGTTTAGATTAGAAACATTGTTTAGAATATTGCAAGAGTGTGGGAAGGGTTTAAAATGCATTTATAAATATACATACACACATACATACATACATACATACAGTACATACAGTACATACATACATACATGCATATATACATTATATATATATATATATATATATATATATATATATATATATATATAT